CAGTGTTAGGTGTTCAAAAGTGACGGGAACAAAGGATTCCTTTCACCTCAGGAACAATGGGGGTGACAGACAGATGATGGATTAGCAAGATATTTATTGACAGGTCCTTTACCCATGGAAGAGAGTCTCTGGAAAGTTCTGAAACTGTTTTGGGAAAACCATGGGGAATCCCGCGAAGCCCCCCGGAAAACCTTCGGAAAATCCTTAGGAATTCCGCGAAACACTTTCGGAAATTTCTGTGAAAACCACCGGGAAAACGAGAAATTCCCGGAAGTTTATCACTGTGGAACACTTCCATGCACCTTACATTCGGACTAATAATGCATTATTTATTCAATTTCTTATTTGATGATTTTTACAAAAACAATAGTCATTTTATCAATTTCAACTGATAAAAATTGATTAGAAGTTCCTGGAACCGCAATCTCATTTCCGCCGAGTTTCTCAAGGATTGTGTCACAATTCATGTTTCTGTCGAGTCGAATGCGGCAAACTTGGAAGCCAGAAGAGTGTAGAAGGGCCTGGAAAACAGTAGCATTGAGCTAGGTTTCATCGCGAGAAAAAACTCGGGAAACGGAAATAGCTTAAAAAAAAAAAGCTTCTAGTTCTTTGTTTTTTTTTCTTCCAGTTTTTTTTTTTAAAGTTGTTTTTTTTTCTTAGAAAATTAGGCTTGAAATTTTGAAATTCTTTGACTCGATTTTAATCGATTTTCTGGAAAGTTAGAATAAAATTTCAATATTTTTCGGTCAAATTGTTTTTCGAAAAAAAAACTGAAATTTTATTTTGTTCTAATTTTTCAGAAAATCGATTAAAACCGAGTAGAAAAATTTGAAAATTTCCAGCCTAATTTTCAACGGTTTCAAAATGTCGGGTTTCGAAATATCTGGTTTTGAAATGTCGCTGAGCCGTTCTCAAAAAATCTTGAACAAAACCCACATCTCTAAATCTTAACATGGACTTCATCCCGATCGCCTGAAAATCAATGAAGAAAGACTCAAAATGCGTGAATTCATCGATATCAACAAAGACTGGTTTTAACTCTTCCATTCTCAAGAATTTCGCCTTCTTCCACTGCTCCAACTCCACCACTTTATCCATTTCAATCGGCAACTGTTTCGGGTGTTCACAGTAGATTGTCAGCTTAGTACTTGAGAGCTTGATCTCCTCAAGTACACCAGGTGTTAGGTATGGTAAAATCGAAAGAATCTCATTCTGGGTTCGCAATTTTATTGAGAGAGTTTTCACATGAACTTTTTGCGTCTTCGGGAAGTTTCTCTCCATAAGTTCAATAAATCTCGGGAAGATTTCATCGATCTTTCGGCTCCATTCCAATTTATCCCTTTGGTAATCACTGTACTTTACAATGATTTTAAGCTTTTCAAGTTGAAGTCTTGGCATCCTCAATATCCCGATTAAGTCCAGAATAGTCTGCTCATAGAAATTCGCTCCTTCTATAGTTTTACTTCTGCTCTTATATCCAACTTTACAGGTATTCTCTCTGAAAGTCTCTTCGTAGTTGATGTCATTCGA